GTCCGCCGGCCGCGCGGGGTCCTGGCCGGCCGAAGCGCCCAGGCCGCGGAGGCCTGCTCACGCCTCCTGAACAGCTCGTGGTAAGACGGTCAGCGTGACCGCACACCGGTGTCTTCTCCGCTGTTTAAAAAGCAGAAGCTCTAAACCCAGGCCAAGGTCAAATCTGGAGTCTGCCACTTAGCTGTGTCGTTTCTACATGCTGCTTCACCTCCTCTGCCTCAGTTTCCTCATCGGTAACATTTGTACATGAAGAGAACTTACATCCCAAGATTGCCATCGGTATGAAGTACATTAATACATGTGACAGCACCAAACACATGTCCGTGAGCCTCGGGACAGCTCAGCTTATTTAAAAGCAAAAGAGGGCGGCGCTGAGCCCTGAGCCACCCTTGACAAGAGTGGCTTCAGACCCGGAAGGGGCGTCGACTTGCAGGTCAGTCCCATGCGGCCTCGGCGGAGGCTGTGGGGCTGGGACCGGTCGCAGGGGGCCCCGGGCCTCCCCACGCCCTGCTTCCCGCCTGCATCTTCTCGTCTTCGCTCTGGGAGGAGCCTCCCCTGTGTTTGGAGGGAGCTAAATGCCAAGTTGGTTCAAACCCTCATGTGGCCTTTCATGCTGAAATTTCTTTACACACTCAGCTTGTTACAAAAGGGTGTAAAATTTTGAGTAAGTAATGTAGGTTTTTTTTCCTTTCAAAGCTTTCACTATATAGGCACTTTCTAAGGGGCTTTTGCAAATGGACTGATGTTAGCAACAAAATTACTGTAAAATTGTTCAGGCGTCACGATAGCCACAGTGTTGCAAAAGGAAGCGTTTGGAGAAACTCCTATCCGAATAGCAACAGCATCTTCCTGAAATCGGAAGAAATACAGGTGAGATTAGGCTCCAGTTTCGCCAGACACAGTGCCCTGCACTCACATCCCAAGTGTAACATGAGATGCAGGCTGGTCCTGGTTGGAGCTTTCGGTGAAATCCGAAGAAAAATTGGGTTCATCATTTCGTTCAATCGCTGAGCTTTTTTGTTCATTACTTAGTTCGACCCATGCGCACTGACGAATAGGTCGTGCGGCTTATGGCCTGTTCATTCAACGGACACTGACCAGGAGTCCCCAAGGGCAGGCGCAGAGGGTTCGGGCTAACACGGTCGTCTGCCATCGGCGCGTTTATAACGAAGCAACTGCGCAGTTAGAGAGCCACTCGGGCCGCGGCTGGCGGGGCTCAGTGGGCTGAGCGCCGGCCAGTGAACCAAAGCATCACCAGTTCGATTCCCAGCCAGGGCACAGGCCTGGGTGGTGGACCAGGCCCCCAGTAGGGGGCGCACGAGAGGCAACCACACATGGATGTTCCTCTCCCTCTCTTTCTCCCTCCCTTCCCCTCTAAAAATAAATCTCTTTAAAAAAAAAGAGAAAGAGCCACGCTGGGAGGGGCTCATGGGAAAGGGTGCACAGCGGGTTTCGACCAGATGGGCAGGGCGGCTATGAAGGGGCGAACGGCAGGTGAGGAGCCGTGGAGAGTCCATGGCAACAGGCCAAACGGACCACCGCGGTGCCCGGGGCGAGGTGGGGGGGATCCAACCGGCGGCCGAGGCCTCGGAGGCCCTGGAGGAGGCCCTGGAGGAGGCCCATGGGCCCGGCGGAGCTGCTGCGACCGGGAGGAGGGCACTGGCGACATCTAGTGGAAGGAATCCAGAGCGGCACCAAGTAAATGTCCCACCACTGAAGGGCTTGGCCACGTAATTATCTGACCCCAAAGGTCAAAAGGTTTGAGGCTGGGAAATTGCAGGTCAGCACAAGAGCAGTGGAGGGACAGAGAAGCAGAGTAAAGACACATTTGGGAGGTTAAGCCAAAATAGCGTGTGAAAACAGGCTGGGTTTGGAGGAAAAAGTAAGGGAAACATCCAACAGGATGCGTGGAGTATTTGTTTTCAGCCGCTGGATGGGAGGAGCAGGCAGGCCAGCGATGAGCGTAGGGCGGGGGGGGCCTGGAGGGACAGTGAGGTGGCACAGAGTCAGGGGCCGGACACGCTGCGTCTGAAACAGCGAGCAGAACTGGCTTTGCGAGCCTGGAGTTCGGAGGCAAGTTCTCAGCAAAAGACAAAACGGGGGGACCCTCAGCTGAACGGTGTTTAATGCCTCAGAAACAGACCACATCACCTAGGAAAAAATATATACAGGTAGAGAAATCAGTAGCCTGGGAGGGAGGATTTTGACCCTAAATCAGCTCCCTATTGCTAGGAGGTGCCAAAGCCACTCGGGCCTTCGCTTTGAAGACCTCAAGCGTCGCCCGGCGCGACAGAAGTGGACTCAAGCGCACTCGCCACACTTCAAGAGCACAGGGACGAGGTTTGGATTCCTTACTTTATTCTGAGATAGTTTTCTTTTATCTAATTATCATCTAAAAGTTGGGCCCTTCTCAACGGATTAGTAGCTAAGCGACGCACCCGGCTCTCACGGGCAGCAGACGACAGCACCGCTTGGGGAGGGACCGCTGCGCCTCAGGTCACGCGCGGGCTCGGGGACCAAGAAGACCGCACGCGTTCCGCCGGGCGTTTTCATTCTTGGGAAGGCGCTGGGAGAAATGTGAACCGGGAGTGGTGAATGGAGTCGTTTTGGCAAAAAATAACTAGAGGCCTATCTAAATAAATATATATACACTATATATACACACATAAAAAAAAATACAGTTCTTGTCAAAAGCAGAAAACAAATTCACAGCAGCTGCTGATTGCTGGTGGATCGCTCCGCACCGCGAGCCTGCGCGCATGAGCAGCAGACGGAAGCATTTTAACAAGGAAACACGTTTTAGTTTTAAGCTCTGCAGAATTTTACAGATGACACAGGAAAGGAACTTGAGGGCGCCCTGCGTTCTTGATGAAACCCGCTACAGGGAATGCAGTCTCTCCATTATCTCTAACCACCTCCAAGAACCATTTCCCTGTGGACGGAGGTAATATGGGCATAAAGCAGTGGCGTGCCCCTGAATAGCATTGGACCTATCACTAGACAATAAATGGAACCGATATTGTCGACTCATTTCCCGTGACAGGAAATATTTCAGCCTCTGCCATCCGAGGTATATTTAAGCCAGGAATGCATGTATAGATTCTTTTAACCAAAAAGTAATTGCCACGAATGAACTAATAAATGCTGAGCAGCAAGGGCTTTGGAAAGCACTTCCGTGTGGTAAGTGCCCATATGCTCCAGTGGCCTTACTGCGTTATCATCCCTCTCAGTTTACGAACAAGAACGCCAGGTCTTAAGGAGTTTATCAGTCAGGGTGGAGGAGGTGATGCTGCAGTAACAAACAGGCCTCAAAATCCTAATGGATTAAAACACAAAACCGACTTGTCACTGACGCGTCAGCATTGTTCGAGAGCCAGTCCGAGCCACCGCTCTCCAAGGGGCGGCCCGGGGAGCCAGGCTCCTTCCCTGCGGAATCGGCGCCTTTGGGGGCGACTCTGGCAGGAGCAGGAGACGGCACGGTGGGGGAGGGGCGGCAGGGGCAACTCTCGTCTGTCACCGCCTTCCTCTCCATCTGGAAATGGTGCCCATCATGTCCCCTCGCATTTTGTTGGGTAAAAACGGTGGCCTGGGGCCACCCAGCAGAAAAGGTACAAGCTTTCGTGTGACTGGGAGCAAGAGACCTGGGGTGCGGCCCCCGGAGCGCCCCTCCCCCAGCACGGGGAGCCCCGCGCCGGCCTGGGGACGGAGCTGGCGGACCTCCAGCAGGGCGGCGCCCCCCTCCAACCCCGGCCCCCGCGAGGCTGGGTGGCACATTTCCCGCTGTGGAGTCTTCCGTGAGAAGTGCCTGTCTGGTCCAGCAGGCATATCGGTTGAATGAATGAATGATTGCGCCTTAGATTTATTTTACAATTGGTTCTTCTTCGAGGCTCAATATGTGTGGACATGATTTTTAGATCAAAGGACTCGATTTTGGGCATTTCTGCAAAAATCTTACTTAGGAAAAAAAAAATGTCTGAATGTCAATGCGGAACCAGCCAAGTTATATGGAACGTTCCTCACAAAGCTCAAAGGAAATTAAGCCAAAATGATCAAACGCTGATGATTTCCCCGGGGAAGTGTCCTTGTCCTCCTTCCGAGAAATCGTCTCGGAACCTGCATTGCCGAAATAGCCGTCTCCGCGTGGGGAACCTGGCAGCGAAACGGCCGGAAGGAGCGGGGCGAGGGCGCGGGGCTGCGCGTTTCCCGGGCGCTCTGCAGGCGCCGGTCTGGGGTCCGAGTGGACAGAAGCGCGCCGATGCCGGAACCGGGTTCCTCCGTCCCCTCCTGCTCTCCATCCGCCCGCAGTTAAACCAGAGGCTCGCCATTCCCGGAAACATGGGCGCCCAAGCAGGCCGCTCTCCTTCGAGCGGTGGGGCGCATCCTTAGTTGGCGGTGCCCACGACCCCCCAGCGGAGCGCAGGGACCGCACCGCGGAGCCCCGCCCCTCGCCGCTCGGCCGAGTTTCCGCGCGCAGCGCGAACTTGGGGGCGCGGGAGGCTGTGCGCGCGCGTGTGCGCGGCGGTGTCACCGCGGGGCCGGGCGGGCGGGACAGCGAGGGCCGGACCGGGCGGGGAGAAGCCGGAGCGCGGCCGCGATCCCCGCTCACCTGCAGGCAGGCGCCCTGCACCCACCCCGTCCCCAGCGCCCCTCTCCTCCCCGCCCTCCTCTGTCGCTGTCGCTCGCCCTCCACCCACCGCCGCTTCGCGTCGGATCGCAGAAGAACAGGGAAGACGGACCCGCACAGCGGCAGCAACTTTCCTCCTGGCTCCGGGCTCCGGGAGCGGAGAGCGGGGACCCGCGGTCGGTGCGCGGCGCGGCGATGGGCTAGCGCAGAGCCGGAGCCCCGGAGCCCGCCGCGTTCCCACGCGTCCCCACGCGCGTGCTCTCGGTCTGTCCGCGGGCAGCGCGCAGGGCGCAGACGCCGAGCCTCCCCGGAGCATGAGGCGCGACCCGGCCCGGGCCGGCTGCGTGTGGCGCGCGTGAATTGAGCCGCTCGGAAGATGAGGCGCCGCGCGGTCCTCGCCCAGCCCGGGCTCCGGACCGGAGACACCGGCCGCGCGCTCTTCTGTGTCCTCTGCTGCGTCCTCCCGCAGGCCGCCCCGCAAGTGCTCAGGATCGGTGAGTGAGCCCGGGGACGCTCCGGGCCGCCGGCTCGGGGACCGCGGCTGGGGGTGGGAGTCGGAGGCGATCCGCGCGCGCGCCGGGGGCTCGGGAAAGGGGCAGCCGCGTCCCCGCTTCCCTGCCGCGCACGGTTGGCGGGCTTTTCCATCTGGGCTCCCGCAGGGTCCTGGCCGCCCGGCGGGCTGCCCGCGGTAGCTGCGGGGTCGCGCGGCTGCAGCCTGGGGCGCGGAGATGCGCTCTCCCCTCCCGGGTATCCGGGGGGCCGCCGGCGCTCCGCACTCCCAGCCCTGGCCCACGGGCACCTGGGCTCCGGGTCCTCGCCCGCACGCCAGGTCTCTGGGAGCATTAGGGGACCGCGAGGGACAGGGGATCGCCTAGCACCTGCTGGCCGCCTGCCTCCAAGTTTTCACCCCTGAGTTGGGTCCCGCCACGGGGAGCCTCCAAGTCTGGCGGGTCCCACCGCAGGGCGCTGGCGGCGAGGGGCTCTGGCTGGGGGCCGAGGACCGGGAAGAGCGACAGGTCCGCGCCGCGGGCAGGCACCTGAGTCGCGCCGTCCTCCCCAGTCTGCCTGCCTGGCACGGGCGTGATTCGGTCCTCAGTGGAGGAGGCTTCCTGAGAGAGTCTGGACTTCCATCTCAGGGCCAAGGAAAGCGGCTCGGAGGCTGCAGCAGGGACCCAGAGCGGGGACGAAGCAAAGCCCAGGGCCGGGCGCTGGCGTGGGCACCGGGCGCCGCAGGGTCTGCTGCGCCGAGGCACCGAGAGGGCGCGGGGTGCCCTTGGGGTTGAGCCAGCTCTTTCCCTCCGCGAATGTCCTCCCTTCCGAGCAGAAGCCCACTGTGCTCCTCGCAGGCAGTCAGAGCCGCAGGTGACGCGGCGCCAGGGGTCTCCCCGCGGCTGCAGGCTCGCGTGGGGCGGCGCCCAGCCCACGCCCTTCCCGGGGCCTGAGGGATGTGCCGACCCGGCAGGGCACCGCCACTCTCGCCGGAGCGGCTGAAATTTCTCAATAGCCTCACGAGGTCGGGCGGTGACGAGCCAAGCTCTTTGCAGAGACCCAGGACCTAGTCCTTCCAACTGAACGTGCCCATTTTAAAAAAGGAAGTTTGCTACTTCGAAATGAGTTTTCTCTAGGCAGGTGGGCTCTAATTTTCCAGGAGAGATCCCGAATACTAACTTTAGTAAAGACATATTTTTCTAGACTATGGATAATGATAATGTGCATTTTGTAGATAATTTTGACTGAATATTAAAAGAGTCCCGAAGTGTTCCTTTTGCAAAAAAGAAACGTCACCCGTAACTAAAATTCCTCTCCCCATAGACGTGCTCTCGCCTGCGCATTCCTCCCTCCCCCCCCCCCCCCAGTTTTCACTGAACAGGGAAGAATAAATGGCCGCCACGTTACAGTGCCCGGCGCCCAGTGCTCAGCTGGCGCTTCGCTTACATCTCACACGTCTTAAAGGGGACCCATGTAGTCGCTGGGGAGGTGCCCGCCAACGGCCCACCTGCCTGCCAACCAGTCGAGGGAACCCTTCCCCCTGCGCCCCCCCCCAAGCTGAAGGGATGGGGGGGGCGGTTTAAGACGTGTCTGTTCGCACCTCTGAGTCTCTCTCCAGGCTCCGAGTGGTCCCCCTCATCCGTTTAGAAATAGTTTCCGAAGTGAAAACAACCCAACGTGATTCATGGACCTTACAACGTAGGCTGCAAGGTAACGAGGTTTCTGTTCTCCACATGAGACCCAGAGGCGGACAGTGGAGTCGCTGGCCCGGCCGTCCCTGTGCCGCCCGACGCCCGGCCCGGGCCCGCGTGGCCCCGGAGACACCGGCACCGCCCCAGCCCGCGGCCAGGGCCCCGCTTCCCTGCACACGTCGCGGCGAGCGGCTTGGGCCCAGCCGTCTCTTCTGTCAGCTCAGTCCCACAGGGAACGCGAGGTGTTAACTGAGTTGGGGAACCGTGTGTGTGAGCGTGTGAGCGTGAGCGCTGAGCGCGTGAGCGCGCGTCGTGAGCATCTGACCCTGTGCGTGAGCGTGTGAGCCTGTGCGAGCGTGAGTGTGTGCAGGGAAGGAAAGAGAAGAATTAAAACGCATCTGTATCGTCCCCCGCCTCTCCCTCCAACAAACGGCCACCCTCCGACCACCAGCCACCGGCCAAGGGGCTGCCCGCTCGCCCGCAGGCCCCCGGAGCCGGGGAAGTGCCCAGCGCTTGCGCGGAGCAGGCCCTCGAAGGGTTCATTCCTCGTCTGCTTTTCCTGCCCGAGGGTCTGCTTACACTCCGGCTACTGAGGAAAGTGGGCGAAGGCAGAAACGTAAGGCAAAGGGCACGCACCCTGAACGTGGGGAGGTCGCCGCGAGCGCGGCCCCCCGGGCCTCGCGCCACTGCAACTGTGGGCGAAGTCCGCAGTCGTGCAGTTTAGGGGCGCGCCGGGGGTCCGGGAGGTTGGAGGTGCACTGATGAGACGCCTGCCCTCCAGAGGGCCCCCGGCAGCCTGCGCGGAAGAGACACGGCCTCTCCCGGGGCTTTTGTGCGGGGTCCACCCAGGCCGTTCCCGCCTCTCCCCGTCGCCCCGTGTCTGTGACCAACCCGCTAACGCCACACGTGCGCCTGAGTCTTAAAGGCCACGGGTGCCCGCGCCACAGGGCCGTGCAGACTTCGCCGACAGAGCAGGGTCTCAGTGGCCCGCGCGAGCAGCGCCCCCACCCCCGTGGAGGGAAAGAAATTCCGCGTGCGTGTGCCGTTTCCGGGGCCGGCGCAGCGCATTTCCAGGGCTGACAATACCAGAAAAGCACATGCGCACAGTGCACGTCCGAGCCTGGTCTCACACGGACCTCGGGGGCCGGGGGGGCGGGGGGTTGGCGGGGGGCGGGGGGGGGGGCCAGGGCTCGGGCCCTGTTTGCTGTCAGACACCACAGGTCTGCGTCCGGCCGCCCGGACTCGGCAGCTGTGTGCCCAGGGAACCAGGCCTGTGTTTTGCGCCTGAAAAACGGGATTAAAACAGTTGCGCCCTGACAGCGTCCTCGGTGAGGGTGCGTGAAATAGAACAAGGTGTGGCCTTGTGCCGGATGGGAAGGCGTTGGTTGCGCGGGGCCACTCAGTCAGACTCTCGTGCAGTGCGTCCGCCCCGTTTTTGATCAGCCGTGTCCGTGGATGCGGGGGGCTGGCCGGATGTGTCGATCGGGGCCGTCTTGCGTAAGAGGCTTGGGCCTGCGTGGATTTTCATATCTGTGGGGGTTGCCGGAAGCGGCCCTTTGTGGTTCCTGAGGGACGACTGAGTTTTGGGGGCGTTGAAAGTTTTATGCAGATGTTCAAGTGCACGGTGGTTATTGCCCGTAAGCTCGCATTGTTCAAAAGTCGCCTGTAATTGTTCTGTTGTTACTGTTTTGTTTTTACTTTTTAACGATTACTGATATTTTCTTTCTGATCAGGGACTTAGTGGTTGATGTGGTGTATTTCCATAAGGTATTTAATATTTCCGAGCCCAAATCTCTTCACCCGCGAACTAGCCCGCGACGGTGTCTGCTTTCACTCGTCAAAGGGGAGGTCAGGCAAACTAATTTCTGTATTTGCAAGCAAACCACTGAACGCGTATAATATGTGACTATTATGTAAATACATACAGCACATAAAGAGAAACATTGTGGAAATTTATATCAATAGGGTGGAAAGTTAAGTGATGATGTAATTATCCAAATGCTTCTATTTCCGTAAGAGTGGCCCAAATGCCTTTCACTTCGGTGATTAAGTTGGCAGTAGCGCCGAATAGTGAACCCTAAGGACCCGCAAAGTTCCCAGTAATGTCTACGACATACCCGTTTATGTTGTTCGCTTGCGCGTACAGCACAACTCTAACCTTTAATCACCGAACCGTTGCATCCTGGCTGCTCGTCACTACACACACCTGCCACGCGCCACCGGCGAAGGACCGGCCCGGGCCCGGGTGATGGCCCGCCGGCCCCGGAGCCGCATCCGCTGCCTCACAACGCACGCCCGTGACCCCGGCACGCCTCCCCGGCCCTCCAGGCAGACAGCCTTTATTTTTTATTCCAAATATTATTCTTGGGGGCCTTCCAGGCCACCTTCAGCTGTTGGCCCCTTACAGCGCGGGCACCGTCGGAGAACAGGCCCCAGCCGCCGTGCGCGGGGGACAGGCAGGCAGGGTCTCCCACCGCGGCTGCGAAAGACCCGCCCGACCCGGGTGCCGCCGAGCGGCCGGAACGCCCGCCGGCCTGCGCAAACTGGGGAGGGGAGCCCGAGGGCGGGCCACGCCGCCACGTTGCTCCGAGCAGATGATGACTGTTTCATCCACGTCGTCCGCCTTTTCCTGACAGGCCCAGGGTTGGCCCGGCACAGCCCCCCGCCCGCTGTCGCTGCTTTCCCTGTGTGGCCGGCGGCCCACACTGTCCCCTGAGGAGCCCGTGACTCGGTGGCTTGGCTGAAGCCGGGGAAGCGGCCGCCCGCTGCTGGCCTGCGCGGGGTCTCCTCACACAGGGCGCGCTGGGCCGTGCGGCTCCCATGCGCTTCCCAGCCGCGTGCAAAGCTGGATGCGGCGTGAGAGCTGCGAGCTCTGCACCTGGCTGCTCGGGGACAGCGACGTAAGGTCAGGCCGCTGTGCCCGGCACTCGCACACACCCCAGGCAGGGAGCGGGCACGGCTGCTGTTCTGGGCGGGCTCCCCGAATTCCTCACGGGGTTAAGGAAGGCAGCGTGCTGGGAGGGGAAGCCCGTTTTCCGTGGTGTGCGCGTGGACAGGGAAGGGTGTGAGGGGCACTCCCGGGTGCGGCCGCGCGGGCCCCCTTTGCTCGCCCGCCCACTGGGCGCCTGCGTGGGGCCGACCGCAGGCTCTGCGACCGAGCTTCCCAAAGTGACTGTGACCAGAAGAAAGCGTGATGGGGGATGGCTGGTGCAGGGAAACCGAACTCTGCCTTCTCCTAGTGGGCTGCCCATGACATCGTGTGTGCGCACGCGTGGGGGGGGGGTGAGCTACACGGAAGAGGCGCAGGGACGGAG